CCAGCCTCCAAAATGGAACACCTTGAAAACCCAGCCTTGGCAATGGGAGGAAAGGAAGCCAAACCTGGTTTTTACCAGAGTTGGTAGAAAGCTTCCATCTCCCCAACCTTCCCCCGGGGCCAGGCTGCCTGGAGGGGAGGGATGTAGTCCCACTCCACCATCAGCAGGGGTTGCACCACCATGGGGGGAAGGACACATATCATCTCTCATCCAGGGCACTGTTTGCTGAGCTCCTGCTCTGTGCCAGGCCCTGCACTGGGCATGGGGGCAACAGTGCACAGAGGACCTTGCCCAGTGTTCAAGGAGCTCCTAAATCCAGGGGGAGAGGCGGCCCCCGCATGAAGGTAGTTCAGTGAAGGAGAGGACTACTGCAGTTGAGCCCGTCACTTCTGCCTGGGGCGGGGCGGCGGGTCCTGGAAGGCTTCGCATGAAAAGTAGATTTCCATCGGGTGAGGTTGGGGGAGAAGGCGTTCCACAGAAGGGACAACAGAGCAAAGGCCTGTAGGTGACCGTGCTTAACGCATGTGGGGCGGAGGGCAGGGGAGGGCATGGTCCTCGTGGTGGAGGCTCTCTCCCCAGCAAGGGGAGAGGGAGGCTGGACAAGTGAGTGAGAGCCAGAGTCAGGGGGTCTTATAGGCCAGGCTGATTAGTCCTGTGGATGACGCGGTGCCGCTCTGGGAGGATTTTAACAAGAAGGAGTCACGGGCTGATGTGGGAGCTGGGCGGGTATGGGTCGGGGGTCTGGATGTAGAGACATGGAATTGAGAAGCAGTTCAGAGGCAGAGTCAGAGACTCGGCCTCTGATGTGAAACGGGTGCTGCCTTTACTCAGGAGAAGCAGGGCCGTGGGCGGGCCTCATAGCCTCACGGAGGCTGTTTCCCCACTGGTAGGGACAGTCAAGCCAGAGGGTCTCTGGGTTTGCTTCCCGCTGTGATGCGTTATGATGTGAAGTCTAGCTCCCCCACCCCAACCATGGAAGAGATTTGTGGGTGCTGGGACAGGAAAGGGACCAGTGCTGAGGCAGGGTAGACGAAGTTGGGGAACAGCCCCCGCCCCATTAGGTTGTGCTTGGGAGGGGGGCAGGCAGGAGATGACTGTGTCTGCTGGGTTGACCTAGGTGTTGCGAGGAGTCCTCAAAAGCTCCTGCATGCACGCACCTCGGGGCCGAACCTAGCCCAGAGCGGAGCGCGGGGGGACAGCCCTGGAGCTCAGAGCTGAATGGGATGGCTGGGCGGTGGGAGGGAGAGCTCAGGCTGCGACAGGAGCAGAAGGAATGGGACCACGACACAGACTCCCCAAAGCAGACCCTGAGTCAAGAATCTGGGTGCACGGATTTTATTTGGGAGCTGATCACTGGAAGCGCAATGAGGAAGTGGGGAAGGGAGGGACCCAGTAGGAAGTTCGTCACTGAGTGGGTTACTGCTGCGTGCCACTGGGACTCTGTCCTGCTGGGGACGCTCTGAGAGATTATGCAGAGTACACTTCAAAATTGTCCCACTCATGGAGAATGAGGCTGAACTCTTTATTCATCAGCTCCTGTTCCTTACTGATGGAGGCTCACTCCTGGGGACATTAACCCCTCAACACTTACAGCTCACCCAGTGCACTGGCCAAGCATACCACTGTGGCCAGAGGACACCATCGGGCCAAGGGGGGCAGGAAGGCATCAGTGTGTACGGGGGCTCTCTAGCAGTGTCCTTCAGAGTGGGCCAAGGGCCGTATGAGCAGGCCACTGTGTGTATCTGCTAAACCCCTGAAGCCTATGCCTCAGAACTGGCCACCAGACCAAGGTGTCCCCTAAGGCCCAGCAGCTCTGATGGGCAGATGTCAGACGACAGAGTCAGAGACCCTGGCCAAGGACTCCACATCCAGAGAGGCCCCAGAGGAGAGAGTGAGGCAGCCTCTGTGGGGAGCTGGGGGCGTTGGTAAGCCTTGGCTCAGGACACCACTCTGTTCTGCAGGACCTGGGCCAGGTGCTTGTGTCTAAGGACCCGGGGCATTTCAGGAGGGAAGGGGGATGAGGCGCAGGCAGCGAGGGCTTCCCGGAGTGCTCTGAAGGCCCCCTGCCCCACCAGGTGGACTCTGGCAGGGCCCACGCTGCCCCGGAACCGCAGGGACTTGTAGAGGGGAGAGGCTTCCTGAAGGCAGCGGTCAAGCTGGGAACAGACCGGCCCAAGTGAGGCTGGCGTGTGGCTGTGGGTGTGCGTGCAAGGTGTGCATGACTGTGCCCAGGGCTGCGTGTCCACGTGTGTGTCTGCGGGTCTCATCCCTCACTTCCCCGAGCCCCAGGGAGCTTCTCTCCCTGCCCCCCTCTTCCTCCCCACTCCCCTGACTCCACAGCACCCTGGGGGCATGCAGAGGGAAGGGGGCATGCAGTCCCACCCTGTCCCCTTCTCTTTTACCTTGTCTCGATTTTCCTCTGACAGATTCCTCAGCCCCCTCAGCTCCACAAACACTTCATAGTGGGGAGCCGAGCCCTCAGAGGAATCTGTGGACAAATCCCACATGCACGTACACTTCTATGACTGTGGCGGCTTCTGGCTTCCGAAGCCAACACCCTCTGCCCCATCCCCTTCCCCCCTTCTGAGGATCATGGGGAAGAAAGTTTCTTGCTGGGGAGTGGGGTAAATGGAGAGGAACCTAAAGCCTAATCCTAAATATGACACCGGTCAGGAAAGAAAACGGGTAGAAACTGCAGCAGGAAGGACAGGAGTTAGACATGGGGAAGGACTTTTGTTAGGCACCGCGAGGAAGCCTGAGTCTCATGTCTCTTCTAGAGCCTCCCAGCAGGGTGGGTATGGTTGGCGGGCAGCCACCCCAAGAACAGGAGGCAGGAGCCGGCGGAGAGTCTTACCCAGAATGCTGCTCTCCACACAGCCGTGGTCCAACAGCTTGGCCCCTGGCCACTGCCCCACGGCCCGGTCCAGAGCCTCAGAGAACATGTCCTCACCGATATCCTCTCCCCGCACATTCAGGGTCTGGCCCAGCCTGCAGAGGAGGAAGAGGGAGGCAGAGGGGCCCAAAACACAAGGATGTCCCTCAGCTCCCTGGGGGTCACCCACCTGCGGATAAACCTGACAACCGGACACTGATTGTAGGCACCAACCACACGTACCACATCACCCAGGCGGCACCTGACAGGGTGGGAGTGGGGGTGAAGTTGGGCCCAAGGGCCTATCAGCTCCTGCCCTGGCCCCCCGCGGGGTCTCAGAGGGCCTGAGGTAGCAGGGGCTGGGCAGGCGCTCACCTGGTAAGGCTGATGTGGTCAGTCAGCACCAGCTCATACTCCCGGCCCTTCTGGGCCTCGGCCAGAAGGAGGGTAGAGGCAGCCTCCTCCTGGGCTCCTGCCTTGACTGGGAGCAGTTCAATAAAGCGGGCTCCAGGGGGCAGAAGATAGAGCCCGCAGGGCTGCTCTGGCCATAGGTTGAGGCCCACCACCCCTGCAGGGAGCAAAGGGGCCTCCTCATCATCTGGTGGGGCCGTTGAATTCTGCTAGGCAACAGCCCCTCACCCCG